ACCAGCAGAGTCTAGGATGGAGAGTGTGGGGCGATAGCTGCTATCCTCCTGTCCCCCCTGTACTCTGTACTCCTGGACCTTGCTGATTGCTGGATCGACACCTATACTTCCCTTACCCTCAAGACGCTGCTGATTGCTCGTGGACGTTGACTGTTGCTGTCGTAAAGTATGAACACAGCCTCATAGACCACGCTGCGAGACCTAGGCATCGACGCACATGCTGCACGTTGTGGACGGATTCGAATGGACACTCCCACGACATCAACCTTTTGCTAAGCTCCAGCCTCATCTCGGAGCCCTTTCGTATGTAAAGTGGCATTCTTATTCAGCTGTAGACCCGCTCACCTCTGGCTCCTCACGAGCTATGCTTCTATGGGTCTTGACTTGTTTCGTGCTGGTCCAGTGCTGAAAACCAATCCAACCTTGTTTGGATTCTTCTCAATGGTTTAATTTGCTCAATTCCTCACCAGTTTTCTTCAATGGGCAGCTGCAGAACTTCACATTTGACCTCACTACGCACGAATTGCAATTACGGAACTAGTCCCTAAGTAACCGTATAAAGCTACTCGTAGTAGTAAGAGCTCTCTCACTGTCTAGTTTTCCCACATACCCGCTTTTTCCAATTTCCCCACAAAGCGTCCATTTATTCCTCGATCTCTGCTGTCAACACCACCATGACGTGGCTTGTTTTCCTATTTATATAAAATTAACCCGCGACAACATTACTGCGCTCGTTACTCACTTCGGCTCTTATGAAAGTAAATCACTGAGCCACCACAGACCAGGGTACAGCATCGTTGTGTCAAACCCATGGGGGGTCGTACTTTTGCTCTGGGGGGGGGGGGGTCGTATTTGGAAGACAAATTTATTTTGATAGTTGATTTTTTCTTGTGGAAAAGGGGGGTCGTAAGTCGCACTCACACCGGGGGCCGTTTCGTATTAATTTTTTTATATGCACTGTATGTCATTTTATACGCTTGTATACGTTGGCATCAGTAATTTAACATACTCCGTCGACAACTTTGTCAGCGAACGTATAATACTGCAATCCCGCTCGTCGTCGGCGAAGAAGCCGTGGAGGTGGAGGGGGTCGTGCCTGGACCCCATTCGAAGGGGGGGGGTCGTACTCACACCGACATTTCGCACATCCCCATGCTGTACCCTGCCACAGCACTAATCCTATAGAGAGAGCCAATTCAGGAATGGAAGTTATAACAAGGTGCAGGAAAAGAAGTGGCGTAGAATAATGTCAGATTAACAGGATTCCAACTAATCAGGCAGTTTCTTCGGCCTTTGTCATCTCCAATTGTTTCTTACCTGCCAGGCCATCGCTTTTCTATACTCTGCTTTTCCACTGAGGGCACAATTTATTCTAACATCGAGAGTGGCGAAGGTAAAATATTGTATAAAATTACTCTTTATTGTGTCATATAAAAATCACTATCGAAAACCACTTCATTCCAGTTGAGCGTGGCATTTATTTTTACTTTTTTCGTCGTATACATGGCGATCACTTTGACACCGTTGGCGTCTGTACAACTCTGCATGGCTCATTTCTTCTTCTATTTCGGCAAGGCACCTCTTTACCAGATAATCTCTTTTTGTAAGTTCAAATTTAGTATATTTCGCAGCAGTTTGGCATTTATGTGCGCCCAAGGAAAACAAGTTTTAGTGGTGCACTATTCAAACCTTGTAAAACTTTGCAAAGCGCAAGGCTTGGTCGGGCCTGGACGAAATTCAAATTTCTTTCAATTGACCCCCCCCGAACCCGTATGGTGAGCAGCATCACGTGCCATACACCACCTTGCCCTGTGTATTACTTCGCGCATATTCCTTGAAAAGATCTGTGCTAAGCCTCAAAGTATAGGAAGATATTTTCTTGGCAGGGGGTACTCGATCTGAAATGCTAACAGGTATGGCCATATAGGGGCTACGAATGGGCGAAAAAACCAAGCGAACGGCCAAAACTCGCGAAGAAAGCCTTCGTTCTTCACGACTCAGGAAGCAATTTCGGACGAGTTCCCCGTAGGCGTCAGCCAACAGTCGGGTGGACACGGCAGCATTGCTGCTATTTACACCCATTGCAGCACTGCGACCCTTTTCAATGTCAATCCCCTCGTGCCTCATATTTTACTCGCAAATGAAGCAATAGCAAGCAATAGGTACGGTAGTCCATTTGTGGGCGGGCGGACTGTGAGCGTCCGGGTCGGTATACTTTAGTTCGCTGCGGGCGGTTGGACGTGTCAGGCAGTATGAGTGTGTCACGCTGTCAGACAGCGTTCAGACTTCGCGACGGCAGCGCTTCGGTCGCGCGTTCGACGCGATCGATGCAGTCGAAAGCATGCGCATCGATCGTCGAATCGCGCGACCGAAGCGCTGCCGTCGCGAAGTCTGAACGCTGCCTCAACGCCGTTCTCTGCCTTCTTGTTGAAGCGCGCATGCGACAACCAGTGGTAGAAAACGAGTAATACGAACGATATGATACAGTCATATCACTTGCTCGCTTTACAACTGGTGGAGAACGGGTTTGGCACCGCGCCAAACTCATCCCGCCTGACACGCTCAACCGTCCGCAGCGAACTACACTGTATGTTGCAGCTCGATTGGGCGCTATAGCGGTACCTTCCTTGGGAAAGGCGCTACGCAGCACCTGCTCAGGGGCGGAATTCCGTCCTGCCAGGCGTATTGATCCTACTCGTCTTAGGGATTTATCGTGCCAACTGACCTAGGCTAGCTTGCCTTTTCCCTAACAAAGTAAGGATCAATTAAGTTGAGTGGGACAACATTTATCGTCATTTTAGGATAAATCAGTTATCCAACTATCTCATTGGCATTGTTAATGTGACAGCTTACACTATCATGTTCACCACAATGTTTGCCAAAGGAACTCTCACCTTCAAAAGAAACAGCGAAATAAGGATGACTGTACAGGTGAATGAACTCTTACTGTGGTGCAGTTAGAGATACGAGACACGATAATTTGGTACTCGGTCTGAAATGATAGCAAGGGTGCTATGTAGTGGCGAAAAGGGAAAAAGCGAAGTGAAACGGTCAAAAACCTCCAAAAAAGAGGGGTACCTTCCTTCGATGAGGCACCACGCTGCGCCTGCTCAAGGGTGCCGCAGACTGTCCTGCTAGGCGTATTAATCCTACACGTTTGGGGGATTTACTGTGCCACTTGCCTTCAGGTCACAAAGCTAATTTTCCCCTATTCGTTGTGGATCCTTACTTCCGAGTTGCGGCATCGCACTAGCAGAGTATTTCCTAACTAGCTGAGACACGAGCACAGAGAGAGAGAGCTAGTAGTCTTCAGTGACGGAGGCCGGGGGGGGGGGGGGGGTCGACGTGACGCGCTACTGCCACGTTGAGTAGGATGGGTCCTGGCGCGAATCCTGCTTCCGTTACAGCTCTTGCAACACCTATTTCGCTGCACCTGCCGCGACTAGGGAGTAAATCTTTAGCTCTACACCCTTTTCTATTGACTGCTTTTGAAAGGTTAGCGCGCATTTGAACACCAAAACAAAAAAATAACATAAAAATTCAGTAATAAAATCAGGGTGGCAATTCAGCTCAGCGGCGCAAATTTTCAATTGCACCATTAATCGACATATCGGCTATTGGACCACGCCCTCTCCATCTCCGAGATATGGAGTGTTCATATGTAATAGATCCCTTCCAGTGTCCATTCCATATAATCACACACTTCAGGCTGCAATAGTGTCAGTATTCGAACTGATCTTCTTCTCTTACTGGGAATTCGGACCAAGCGCAGCATTACCGGAATTTTGGCGACGTACATTTGACGGATACTCCATAATCATTTACTACGACGTACTCATCTTGCCCTACATGATATTTAATGCGTAAGTTATGATCTACCCCTCATGTAGTGTTCTGTTCGCTTCGGCCTGTCAAGGGAGATGGGTATGACGCACACCCAGCCCATTTTGTCATTTTTTGACTTTCGGCAAGCAATAAGACTGTATTAAACCGTTCGTGGGGGGCGCGTCGAATCCGCTCTCCACCAGTTGTTGCCGCTCACTCGCTCCGGCAAGTACAAGAAAATGGGCTGATGGCGCGCCAATCGAGCTTTACTGACACCCCCATCATCCGCAAAAGTCTCCCAGAACAAGGAGGAAATGAAGAATGAGACAATCGGACTTCCGTAGAACTCTTAATTGGAATGTCAAAGCCTCATGATTCTGAGAAAGCGCTATTGCTAAGGTACTCGGCGCGATGAATCTATCTGAGTTACGCCATGCATTCAACTCACATCTCCCACTAAATCTTGTGGTGGGACTCATCTACAAGAGTTCAAGCAACGAAGAAAAAGTGGCGCGCTGCTTCTGCCCAGGGAGTATTTCCTTCTTTCCGCTAGTTCATCTTAACCAATAGGTTTCCACCAAAAGGAAGTCTGTGAAGTCTTGCAAAACAGCGAAATGGTACAGAAGAGCTACTTTGGATACAGAAGTTTGCACGCACTTATATGGTGGGTGGCCTGCATGAGCTTCACTGGGTCTCCCCACCTGCCAAGGCTTGCATGTCGAAGTCCCCATTCATGCCGGCCACGGTTAGTGCCCGTGCTCATCGCTGCGTGAAACAGCGTGATTTTAAATGTTTCTGTGCACTATTTACCCCCCGCCCCTTCGATGGTAAACTTTTTGGGTGAAAAGCTGGACGGAAATGTGGGAATTGTGGGTAAGGGTACTGGTGAAGGCGCGTTCGTACCGAGACCCTTTCATTCAGGTGATGGGGGGGGGTCGTACTGACACCCTCTCCCAGAGGCGGGGGGGCTACCTACACCGCCACCTCACACATCACGATGCTGTACGCTGCCCGTGCTAGCCCAAGAGATTTCAGCAATGCTTGCACCTCATTTGAAAATTGGCGCCCTCATCGAGCCAAACCTCGTCAGGAATCCTCCAACATTTCAACAAATTGCAACGAAAGTATCAGCTGAGACTGATTGCATGGCCTGATATACATAAATAGTTCTTCATAAGAGTTGTGTGGGCGCATTTCAGCTCGGAGAAGGTACCGAACATAATCGGCGAAATTTGTGTAGCGCACCTTGTGAGGAACTGTAAATTCCTGTGAAGAAGGTGGTTTACTTAAACCATTCGGCAGCTGTGCGTGAGGTCTCTTTGAAGTGACACCTGTCAAATAAATGGAATTAATACAAGGAACTAGCGAAGTGCAAAATGTCCCCCCAAGCCGAACAGCGCCGATTTGTTTGTTGAAACTTTGTTGAAATATTTTCTTATGGGTCACTGGCAAGAGCTTATGCCCCAACCATACCTGCGATCTGATGCTTCTTAATCATGATGTGTTTTCAGCACAAATTATAAGCTTTTTCCACATAATAATCAATCTGAAGCTGTACAGCTGCGGAATAGGCTTTCATCTGTTCCCTTTTTCGTTGCGAGACAGTAAACCCCATGTTAGGCAAGCAGGGCACGTCTGCTGTTTTGGGGGTGGAGGAAAATTTTGCCAATTCGACCCTTCACAAAATCCCTTTTCCTGAAATACTACGGTTTTTAAGTTTTCCCCGCAGAAAATGCCGTCATGCGGGGGAGGGTGAACTGAGAGCACGTGAAACAGGAAAACGGGGGAATCAACCATATACGGCCCTCCTTGGGGATCCCCTACTTCCGTACCCTGCAACCAAGAAGGGTTTGCTATTTCCGAGCCATGCGTTCGGCATATGAATTGGCGGCTTGGTGGGGGCATTTTGCTGGTTCCTATCGGTTACTGTCGATCAGTTCTGCGGAGACCTGAATGTTACTGTGAAGCTATTCAATAGCAAGAGCTTCGTTGACCCTGGACAACAGTCTACGGCCTCACCAAAGTGATATGTGCACTTTGACAGGGTCCAGCAAAAGAAGCAGCGATAGCGCGAAATTCTCCATCCCTACACCAACCGAACAGGGTAAAAAAATTTGAGTAGGTGATAATGAAAAAAGTCAGGGTAGACAGAAAGCTAAGTACCCTAGATATGCATTGTATCGCACGTGGCGTTAGGCTGGGGCTATGTATACAGAGAACTATGGGGCGGATGTACTGAGGAACGGACAGATGATCAGCGGCAATAGAGTGCAAAAATAGGAGGGAGAATTATGGCGACTATTTCACGCACTCTGCCCATAGACGGAGACATTCATCGGTCTTTCTGTTGTGCTTTTGAACCTTTCTTCGATAGTTGAATCATTAAAAATAGTTTTTAGGAGCGTAAAAAGCGAGATGAAGTCTCTTTGCGCAGAATCCGGGAAGAGGATCCCTCGACACCCGCTTGTGGTCTCCGATTGCATCGACTACCCAAAACCCACTGGCTATACAACGACAAAGCTATTGAACTAGCTGGTCAAGGATATTGTATGCTCCTTATTGTGTGTATATTAGTTGACTGGGTTTAGTTGCTCGAAATATTTCCTATGAATGTTGGAGACGACGTGGAAGTTAAGTTACATTTTCGAGTACGCATTAAAGGACTGCTATCGGATTCAATTTCCTTATGTTTCAAAGCAAATAGGAGGTAGTTTCGTAAAAATATGTCCAAACGTTAGTTTTTTTGTGCCCGGTTTTCAAACATAGTTACTATTCCCAGGGGCGCACACACGCGGATGGGCGGAGTCGGGACCTACCACTCTTCATTTGATCTAAACCTTTCCTCCCCGGGTAATGCTCCAAAAGCGAGCGGGGCACACACAGGCCTTGATCCCGCCTACGGGGTAAGGGTGAGCTGCGTCTTGAACTGGCCACTTTCTGACTTGGTGATGAACAGTTTCTGCGCTTCAGGCAAAATCCGCGATCATTAGCCATCTCAGATAATGGATTAGGGATTCGCATAACCACAAGATTCTGACAATGAGTAACTCGATGGTGAAGAGCCAACTGCCTCAAATAGAATCTCCATACCGATCCCAGTGAGTGCATGCCATACAAGTCCTTCTGCAGCATGAACCCATCCACACGACTGACTGCTCGATGAGAAATCTTCGACCGGTACAAGGAGCGATTTTTCATGCTTTTTCGTCCTGCAGCTCGTTTTGTCACTGAAGAACATGTCTTGAATTCGAACACTGGAGCAGGGCACATCATTGGTTGGGGAATCCCCAACAGGGGGGGGGGGTCGTATTTGGCCGCCAGGAGAGGGGGGGTCGTAATGAGTGCGGTAGCCAGTAACGAGCAGCGCAAAGGTGTCAGTGTGCTGAGTCCTGTACAGCGAAACTTGCTTTGTAGAGAACTCGGATATGTAAAAAAAATAGTACAACAAGACTTCCATTCATCAAACTAATCTGAAATAACTGGAAATATAAAAAGTCGACATCATCTCGTAAGTGACTAAAACAGTACAAACTCATGTACAAGTGGTTTCGCGCTGCGGATGATGGGCGTGCCGCGATCGCGGCTTGACCGCTTTTCACCAACCTGTTTTTTTTGTCGAAAACGACAGGCTTGGCCATGTTCATTCGTTATAGACGTTCAGCGTATGTTTTCGGATCAGGCAGAGCACGAAATTCTGGCAGTGTCAGGCAGCATGTGGACACGCTTTCCTCATACGCAACCGGACAAGTGCACAGGCTCGCCATGGACCCCTCTGAATCCTACAGACACCTTTGCTCGCGTGGACAGACATTACGCTCAAATTGCACCATCCCATCACCTCTAAGCGGACATCAATGTGCGGCGCATCCAAAGTTAGCATGATTGCACTAAAACGAACCACATCCTGCCTGCCCCAGCACAGGATACTTCCACCTGTATTCTGGTTATTCGAAACACGTCTCGCTTGAAACCGCACCAGAAATATGCCGTTGGCGAGCTTTTTTAGTTTATCCGACAGTTTGGGAGTGTTCCCCAAAAATCTCCAACGCAATTATCTCATGAATCCGGAAACTTCAGGAACAGTTTTAAGTAGTTTCTGGAAAGAGAAAATCTTCTAGAATTCGACATTGGTTTTAGATTTGTAAAATTTCAAGTTTCAAGGAAAACATCTTGATTCAAACCTGTACAGTTATGCACTGGCAAACATATCGCAAAACTGTGCTCTCAGAGTCTGAGAGGAGTCATGGAGAAATTCAGGGCGTCCACGAACATGTAATGCACTACATCACCCCTTATAATTTTTTTTCCGCAAAATCTGTACAAAGATGTCATCGGCAGACTAACACCCTCCGGGCCCAACTTTTATAATTCTGAGTCGAAGGTTCCCGATTTGGGTGAAACAAAAGTGAAATGAAGGCAAACCTCCGTGATCGTCAAAACAGTAGCTGTCGAACTATAGTCAGCCTCTGCTTATCAGTTGTTGTTTCCCACCAGCCGATTTCTGATGGCAACCTGCCAAAGTTGTTCCTCTTGGCATCGGAACACCGTTTTCCATAAGCATCTGACTTTAAATGGGTGTGACTACATCTAATTCGCTGCGGACGGAGAGGCTTGTCGGGTACTGTTTGTCATTAAGTAATTCTCAATGGTGACTAAAAGCCGGGTCAATGATGCCACAGTGACGTCATCGTTCAATGGTCAACTTGGTGTTACACCTTCTCCTTGGACAGAACCGGATCTATCAAGCGAGAAAGATGCATATGATGTTCATAACTTATCATGGACACCAGATTCCACCACGTCATATATCCTTTCTTTAGTATGATTTCAGTTGTTTACATGTGGTTAAACTTGTTTACAAATCCGAAGTCTCTGTCAGATGTTACATCTTTACTTCACGAAGTAGTACGCTTTCCTGTTCCTTGAATTGAAGTCATACGATTGATTGCAGAATGGGAATCGCAACCAATCGTTATCGATTTGTGGTTATGGCGGTAGGATTGATGTGTTTAACGAGTATCTGTTCGAATTACATTATTATTAATTTTACATTCATTTGCATGAGGGAGGATATGTCAGAAGTCGTGGAGACTGGCAATGGAGTGAGTTGATTGAGTTTGACCAAAATGTAATCATTTTCTTACAATTCAGTTACAAAACTTTGCATAGTTTTTATGCTATGTGGCTGGTCAGGTTGTGGAACGAACGTTGTCTTGGTTTGGGAGGGGCACACTACACTTTCACTAGTTCCTTTCGTTAGTTCCTGCTAGCTTACACGTCTCACCTGGATAAGACCTGTGGATTCAAGTCAAATGAAAACAAAGCTTCTGCTATTGCATAGCTTTACAGGAATTCACAGGTCTCGAGCCACCAGCACTGATCGATGGAAAACAACTAAGTGGCCCCCACTAAGCCCAACACATACCGTTGGGATGCGAAGGACCAGGTGGCAAAGGCTGAAGGAGTCTGTCGCGAAAATCTATCCAATTGCGTAACGACTAGTAGTTGCCCCAAGTATGGAAAGGAGCTACGATAAGGAAGAGATGACAGCTCGGAAAGCATCCATTTTACGAGGGCTACATGCCGAGGAGACACCAGGCAGACGCGTGTCACGATTTGGCCCAAAATTACCGATCGCCCAGTGAATACGCCCAACTCAATTCACTAACCAGTCATTGGTAAAGGGTGCAGCCGAGGATGGCTCATTCCGCCCCTTCTAGTACCAGCCCGACTGATTACGACGTCAATTATAAGGCGAGCCATCAGGGGGTGCCTAAATACTGAGGGCGACGATGTTGAATCCTGTTCTTTTCTGAGTTGCGGG